TGGGGGCCAGGAAGGGCTGGCTGGGAAAGGCTGCCGGAGTTGGCGGGATACTTCCTTCAGTGGTGCATCCCTGGGAGGGATTCCTCTGGAAATGAGCTTCATCTTTCCACCCTGGGCCTGGGGCAGTTCCAGGCCAAGCTGGGCAAGGTGGAAGCAGAGCCTGGGGGCCAGGAAGGGCTGGCTGGGAAAGGCTGCCGGAGTTTGAGCGTTTGATCCTGGAGAGGTGAAGGAGCAGCCAAAGGGGCTTGAAGTTTGGCTCCTCTCCTCATGGTCATTGTCCCGTGATGTGTGGGGTCAGCCATTGCCTGTGGCCAAGACTCAGTTTATCTTCTGTTAAACCATGGAACTGCTGACCAGGGCCTTTGTCATTTGCGTTCATTCGAATCGCCAAAAACCCAGATTCCAACTTGTAAAAAGCAAAAAGGCGAAGATGGGGAGGGAGAGGGGGTGGGGAAGTGGCAGGACCAGAGAAACTAACCATTCCACTACCTCAGGCACAAAAGCCAGGAAATGGCTCCCCAGGAAGTCTTCTGGTGCAAATGGGTGGAGTCCAGAGGGGAGGGGGACACAGCAAGAGTCTGGATACCCGATGTGGTAGACATGTGTTGGCAGGCTCTTCTTGGTCATCCCTCAAATGGTCTCCCACCTGATTCTGTGATGCTTCTTGTATGGAACCAGGCAACATCCGTGGGGAGGGGAGATCAAAGCCTGCTGAGGTCAGCCCCAAATTCTGAACCTCCCACAAGCTAAGAACTTCAGCGGAACTAGTGCCCCTCTCTGGCCTCTGGACTTTCAGAACCTGCCCCCAAACCCATGGTGTGCACAGAGCACCTTAATGGTTACATGCGGAGCCCAGGTGGCCTCCCGCGCTGCAAACAAGCTCTGAGGAAAGGGTGGACAGCTGTGACTGACGATGAGCCCGACGATGAGCTTGCCGCCCTGCGACTTCTCCTCGCCAGTCCAGCGTGGATCCGCCGAGGAAAACAGATTGTCCCTTGGCTCATCTTGGGCTCACCTGTGCGTTCTCTAATCCAATTAACCAATCCCAAACGAAGTTTTACTTTTGTCCGTTCACCATGAATGTAGGTTCCACTTGGCAGGGGCTTTGTTGATAACTCGGTTGGTTTGGGGAAACTGAATACTTTGGCTTGGCAGCTGCGGCTCAGGAACGTGGAAGAAACCCAGTGGATGCCCCAGCCGCCCTCACTCGGCCCAGTGCGCTCTGGGCTGGCCCCCCACTCTCCACAAGGCCAGGGAGGAGCTGCCCCCCACGCCCGTCCCGCTCCGATTTGACTTGGATATTTTGATGATTCTCTTTCTGATCGAGTTCTTTGAGCGTGGGCACCAGTGAGGCAGCGAGATTTCCAAGGTCTCTAGGCACCCAGACCTACGCTCAGGTCGGGCTCACCCACTCGCAGACACTTTGTCTTGCGATTGGAGTTCCCGCCTCATTTCCCAGATAACCAGGGCCCCTGGGGTTGGGGAAAGTCCTAGGGGGAAGGTCGAGGGTTGGTGAGGAAAAAACACGGGTGTCAGCGAGACTTTGCCACTGGGCCTGGGGCTCCACTCCACTCTCTGGCTGCGCCCCCAAACTGTGCCCTCGTTCAGCACGCAAATCTTCCTTTTGGAATGGCCCGGGATGTTTTAAATACACACATACACGAAGTCACCAAGCGTGTTTAAAAAGATATACAAGTCAAAACTCTCAGACCCTGCCGCCTCTG